GTGTGTGTGTGTGTGTGTGTGTGTGTGTGTGTGTGTGTGTGTGTGTGAATTTGTTTCAGCTTATCCTGTATGGCTTTGCTTACCCCTGGGACTCTGAGGTTTTTAGTCTCTGGCCAACTTTCAGAGACTGGCAGACACTGTTTATCTGGGGACGTTGAGCCCCGCCTTCTTCGCACTTTCTTCTGGGACTCTAAGGATACGGCTGTCGGCTAATCTCAGTGCGCAGCCTCGTGCCTCTTTCAGGCTGCTAAGGTTCTTGGTGTTCTGTTTATTTTCACTGTGTTTTTTTCGAGTGTTTGAATAATGCCTTCTCCTGAGGTCTTTCTGTTCTGGGGGTCTTCCTCCTGTTGTCTCTGTTTTAGTACTGATTCTGTCCAGCAAGCTTGTCATTTCAAATGTCTTCTTCAGTCTGACCGTTTCTGTATTTACAGCGCCTGTTTCTTTGCTGAGATCTGGGCTGAGGCTGGTTTTCACTCCTCTCAAAGGAATCTGTTGAACCGTACTTACTGTGACCCTTTCAATCCTTGTGCAGTGATGCCAGCATGAGTCATTTCGGTACCTGCACGGGTAAGTTTTCCTTTTCTCATTAACTGTGGTTTCCCTGGGTCTTCATAGGGACCAGAGGTTTTAGTGTATCCTTGACACCTTGGCTGCTCTGCTCTGAGAAGCTTTGGTAGGAATTCTGTCTCCTGGGTTAGCAGAGACTCACCTCTCCAGAGTGTAGGCTGACTTCTGGCCTGCGTCTCTGTGCCATGCTTCCAACTCCAATTGGCTTTGGGACTCTGATATTGCTCACTGGCCTGATTCCTCTGGCATTTCTGGGACCCTCCCTCCATCTCTGATGTTGCTGTCTGTCCCAGCTGCTGTGGCAAGGCCACCTTCTGCTGTGGCAGATGGTAGGAAATGAAGCCATGGGCCTACACGCCCTCAGGCAAATAGACTCAAAGCAAGGAAATTGTAGGCTTTGCTTATGCTGTCCCAACAACCGTTCACCCAGTTCCAGAAAGGGGGTAGGATTAGCCTAGTAGAGATTTGAAGACAAACTAGACCAACCACTTGTGTCCTGTTGTGGGGCTGGGGAGAGCTTCCGGTCAGCTTGTTGCCTTTGCCTCTTCTGTGTCTATGAGAGGTTTCAGGTCCTTAGTCATCAGTATGGGGTCCTCTGGGAGGGAAAAGAAAAACTCAGGCT